CTGCTGCATTGACTTGTACTCCCTCATGGCATGGCTTTCAAGCTGGTCATGACTTCATGCACTATTTCTAAAAAGCTAAGTGTTCATCCCCCTTGTGGGGGAGGTTAAAACACTTACCTTTTATCCGTCCTGGTAAATTCTGCACTGGATGAAAGTATTTTGTGGTATGGTTTTATAAGGGCCTGATAAGAGTGGAAGTCGCTGCTTGTTTATGTGTGAATAGGGATGCCTTCAGCCAGTCTAGCAAAATCGAATTTCTTAGTCTGGAATTTGCGGGGATCAAAGTTCCCCCTTCTTCCCCAAATGTCACTTGTAGGTAGTGCCTGCATCTTATGAACAGGGTTCCCTTTGCAAGTAGAGGGTGTTATAGCTTGGTGCATGGCTGTGTGTCTGGTCACTTTGATACTTGTTCTGTAGATGTGGTTTGGAATGATAATGCTTGCTGTGGGAGGGCCACGCTTTCTTGGGCAGAGTATATGGACTGCTTCACGTTATGGCCCCTTGCTGTGGACTTGCAAAACACTAACTGTACGATCAAATACTATCAGGTGGTGGTTGCTGAGAACTTTGATGAAATTGTTAATGCAGAAGACAAAGATGTCCTGATAGAGTTTTATGCACCCTGGTGTGGTCACTGCAAGAATCTGGAGCCCAAATACAAGGAACTGGGGGAGAAGGTAGGTCTGGGACTCCTGCAATCTTGCAGCACTGAACAATCCTGCAGGTGCTGTTTATCTAGCCTATATTATAAGGTGGCATAACTATGCCTCTCTTATTTGAGGTTTGGCAGCAGCTGGGCATCTCCTGTGAACGTAGTGCATTAGTAGTATCTGGAGCATGGTAACAACCTTATGGGTAGGTTTAGGCAGCTCCCTTTGCAGTGGCACGTAAGTATTCCCTGACTGAGTGACTGGTCTCGAGTGTCCAGACTCCCTTTAGGATTATTTCCCTCTGCGTAATTAGTCTCCTGTTCAGTCAAGGAAAACACTGCCTTGCAAACTTTAACTTGGTGGGCTAATGGAATAGCTTCTTTTGAAGCACAGTTACGTAGCTACAGCTTAATGCTACCCTCTGCTCTTAAAACCTTGTGAGAAACATCTGCTGAGGATGGTTCATACTAGCGTGCTTTGCTAGCCTCAGTCCTAGTTTGTCAGCCCTGACATTGTTACAGTCCCTGCTAGCATGGAAGAAGCGCTTGATAGTGTTATATCAGGATTTGATAGAGACATAAATCTCTTCACAGATCTGACCACATCTCTCATAGGCTGTCAGGCATCCTTCTTACCTGAGATTGTTTCTCCTCACAGTTCACTTCCTAAAAGACTAGAAGAAAGCAGTTGCTCTGGGCTCAGTGTTTTACAGGAGTTATACAAGACTAATGCAGTAGATAACATTAGGTGATGTGTGCTGCATACACCTGACAGCAGGAGGACTCTGTGCCCCATGACCTTCTTCACACAGGAAGACAGCCACTCAGAAGAAAGCTGCCTGCCTTTCTATATTTAGTGTGTGCTGTCTTTTGATATCTCTTCTAGAATGTGCTGATAGATCAGTGCCTGGTGTAACCAATCCAAGGTAGTTACTAATATGCTCTTTCCACCAACAGCTTAGCAAAGACCCCAACATTGTCATTGCCAAAATGGATGCTACAGCCAATGATGTGCCTTCTCCGTATGAAGTTAGAGGGTAGGTGTTATTATTGGTGTACTACTATGCTAATGGAAGAGTCCAGGCTTCTGTCTCTGACCAGCAGCCACTACAGGAGAACTGACAGTCTCCCAGGCTTTTGGCACGCTATTGCGGGATATTAAAGCATGAAGCGCTCGAGAGTCAAACAAATAACATTCATCTGCCTTGCTTCTCTGGAATTCTAGTGTCCTGACCTTGTTTAAAGACCTGTCTTGCTGAGCATGCTTTTGAATCTGCTGTGATTCTGTTCTTAGCGACATTGGGCTCATTTTTCTGAACGCCTTTAGAAAGCAGTTAAGCTGATATACCTGGACCTAGTTGAGCTCAGCCAACTCTGCAAACAGGTCCAGGCTTCCAGAGACCACACCTACTGGCTTAGGGTTGGTGTGCCAGAGCTGCTTATGCTGTTACCATGTTACACCAGAGGAGTGTAGGGTACAAATCTCCTCGGTGAGAGCTAGCATGACTCTTTAAGAAAGAGCAAAGGGCCCCCCCCCCAAAAAACTAGCACACTAGGAACTGAGATGTCTCTTCTCTCTCCCCAGCTTCCCCACCATCTATTTTGCTCCAGCTGGCAACAAACGGAGTCCAAAGAAGTATGAGGTGAGTATCTCGCTGCTCTTGGAGCTTGGGGATTTGTGAATAGATTAGGCAGAATCTGGGTTTCCAAACAATACTGAGTCTCTCTGGAGCTGCTGATTGCACTCTAGCCCTGTTACCCTGGGAACACACCTGGTGGTACCTGCTGGGAATGTTCTGCTGTGTGCTGTAGACCCAAGGGGGAAGAGCTCTGCTTCCAATTGCTTTGGTCTGCTGCTTGGCACCTGAACTCCCCCTCTAGCAAAGGAGAAGCCCACAAGGGGTACAAGCACTGTTTTTTTTTTTTTTTTTTTTTGCGCTTTCTGTAGGGTGGCAGAGAAGTGAGTGACTTCATTAGCTACTTGAAGCGGGAGGCAACCAATACCCCTGTGCTGCAGGAGGAAGATAAAGCCAAGAAATCCAAGAAGAAGGCAAAGGAGGATTTGTAAAGTACCTGCTCACCATCTTGTCAGGATGAGCTCTGTGAATTGGGGGAGCACTGGGCAGCCTGGGGTCAAATCTGGGATGTGGAGAGCCAATGACCAATGCCACATGGGCTGAAGGGACCCAGCTGCTGTATTTAGTTCTGTTTAATTCCCTGCCGTCTCTTAGCTGCACTGTTGTGGGGCTCCCCAGACTGGTTTGTTTTGTGGTTTGGGAGGGGGTGGGGGGCAGGGTTATTTTCTAATTTTTTTTGTACATTTGGAGAAGTGAAACAATAAAATGGCCCCCTTAAACCCCAGTTTCTCTCTCCTATGGAGACCTCTCAAAGCCGAGATACTGCTATCTAGGCAAAAACTCCCTACTGTGAAGGAGGCTAGGAGGAGGTTAGAAGGCTTTGTCTTCTGGATCATAAGCTCGGCCTGCAATTTGTTCCCCTCTCTTCCTCAGCTAATGAGAGTCATTCCAGAGTGCAGTGGCAGCAACTCTCTCAATGTGCTGTGCTTCAGGTGCTACAGTAACACAGGTTTGGGGCACAAGGAATGTGTTCACGAATGCTTCTGTTGTCTGCTTTCTGCCTGACAGGGTAGTAATGCTTCAGCAAGCTTAGAGCTACGTAGTACTTAATGTGACTGTGCAGTCTAGACAAATGCAGATATACCGAACAGTCTCGCAGTAGGGCTTGCTCAGCAGCATATAAACAGCAGCAATGAATCAGTTTTTAAGCTGGTGTAAAAGTAGTCAAAGGTATGGGAGAAGCACTAATAATTACATATTCTACCCAAATACCGGTAAGGCCAGGGCTGAATGAGTTTTTTGCAGCCAGCAGGCTTCTCTGGCAAAGATCCTTGTCTGTGACTCTTGTGTGTGGTTAGGGGCAGTTAAGACCTGTTAATTATAAAGCTGTTACTTCCCTTGGTAGAAAACCACCCAGGAGTGGTGGCTTTCCTCTGGAGGGAGAGGAATATGATCCTGTGCTGCAGTCAGATTGCGTAGGCTGTGACTGACCATCTCAGACAGTCCTTTCTTGTTTTGGGACCAGAATGTGCTGGCAGAAAAGGTCAGGACTGATACTGTGGGAGAACTGAGATGAGCCGTTGCCCTGGATCTTTGCGTTTCTCTGGCTGCATGTGAGTTGAGTGAGGGACTGGTAGACTCAACACGCTGCTGCGTGTTGCAGCAGTAACCATGGTAAGAGCTAGTGCTTGCTTTCTCCGTGTGTTCCTCCCCCATACTTCCAAAGGGCTGTGTACTAATTATTTATTGCTGCTTGAATTCTCTGGGTGCAGCAGATCACACAGCACTCAACATGGTCCTATGTCTATAGCAGCTGTGCAGAATCAGTTCTGAAGTGCAAGAACTTTTTCTCCAGCTACGCCTTCCTATACTACTGCTTCTGGTTGATAGCTGCTCTGTGTCACAGAGCAGATGTTAAGGTGTTGGGTGGGGAGGAAAGATGATATTCAGTGATCCTAGAGCAAAATCTGAGTTCCTTACATGTCAAGCTGGCAGAATCCCTGCAGCAGGCTACTGACCTGATGCAAGGGATGGGGGAAGAACAGCAGGTGTCTGGTTTTGACTGTTGATAACTAACTTAAGGAAACAGTACTTCACTTTTACACAAGGGGGAAGCTACCACCCTGAGCCAGGTAAGGGAGAACAAGGGGAAGCTTTTCTCTGATCCTTGCCTTGTTCCAAAGCCTGACTCCTCAGAACTGATGGTAGCTGGGTGCTAAGCATGACTTTAAGTTTTTTTTCAAATGGTATGACTGAGAGCCACTCTCAATAAGCATTGGTGTCCATTCCCAGGCCAGCAGGGGTGAAGTAACCATAGGATTGGTGGGTGTTAGATTTTCTGGTGACAGGGATAAGGAGGATGTGAGAAAGGCACTTTCTGTGGCCAAGAGAGCAAGGGTGCTGGTGCCTGCCCAGATGCCCAATACTGCAAACAGTGGCTAAACTGAAGCTAATAAGTTTTCAGGTGAGAAGAGACAGAATTCTAAGGAAGACTTTATTCACAGATATCTCATGAGACACATCATCAAACCTACTTCCTGTGAATGACAAGGGCCTTGCTTTGGCTTCCGCTGTGCTAAGAGCAAAACTGCTTTGGAGGTCTGCAGTGGAAGCTATCTCCACCTCATGCTGCTTCCTAGCTAAACGCCACCAAAGGCAGTCACTACCCAAAGGTGGTCACCCAAAGTGACAGAGACCAGCTTGGGGTGGCACAGGCCTCAGGAAAAGGGCCTTTGGACGCCTTGCGCAGCCTCTCCTCTAGCCTCTCCTCTGTCCCATTCAGTATGGCTGGGCAGCCAAGGCTCCCCTGCAGGGAGCAGTAAACCAGTTTGCAACAGGTCACCTGGGGCACCATGCAGTTGAAACAACATGCTTCTAACAGCAACCAGGCAGCTGTCCTGTGCAGTAGCCACATGCGCAGGCTAATGGGCGCTAAGGGAAGCACTGACAATATTGTGACTCTTAACCTAATGCACTTTCTCTCTCGTGCACTTCTTCCTCTTCTACACTCCAGGGGGGCATGGGTCTTAAGAAGTGGTGGGGCGAACTACTGCAGCAGCTCGCTTAGGAGCGCCTGCTTTCTTCAAATTGTAGGATCAGGTTTTTAATGTGAGACAGCTTCTGGTGGAGGTATTCACAGCGATGTTTCTCCTGCTGGTAGCTGGGATAAGTCTAGGGCAGGTGGGGAAAAGTACAGGTCAGCTCCTGGAGGGAACCAAGTCCCTACCCTGCACCCAGCCTTACCTTCTTGAAGTGGCTGTATTCATGCAAAATTGTAGCTTCAAGTGCCTGAAACGCAAGAGAAGCAGATGAGCAGAATCTGAGTAGAGCTGTACTGCCTGTGCCCTAGGTCTCCCACGCTTGCCTTGCGTTCCTCTGTTCCTTGTTTCAGAGTCTTCATTTTGGCTCCCAGTTGAATGAATTTCTGACTCACGTTACCAATACGAGCATGCAGGTAGCGGTACTCAGTGTAGTCTGCACTAAATGCTGCCTCGTAGGCTCTGCGCTGTTCCACTGAGCAGATGGTACGATATTTTCTGCCACAACCAGGAGAAAAGGCTTGTTCTTCCTGTGTCCATAGGACCTTTGTGATAGGAAAGAGCCCTTTCTCTTGGCAGGGCAGGGAGCTGGAAGTGCTTTGTAGTGAGTGGCCAAGAATAGACAGTGCTGTGACCTTGCTGCCTGCCTCACTGAGCCTGCAGGCAGCTTGGTCTCAGTGAAATGCTGTGGAGCTGGCTCCAAATTACTCTAAGCAAGGGAGTTGTGGGGCAGTGAATGTCTGAGCTTCACTTACCGCAAGTAATCTGGGATCTCTGCTGAGGATGAGCTGCTAGCCTGTGACCTGGCATCTAGCAAGGAGCAGAAAATCACAAGGATTAAAACTCCTCTAGAGCATCTCTCCACCTCAGCCAGAACCTGCCTTGCTCCTGTGCTTTCTGTGAGTCTGAGAAGACCTGTTCCCTGCAAGCCAGGCTTGCAGTCGCACAGCTCTGGTAAATATGGAGCCCTGTGCCCCACAGGGGAGTTCTTGGAGGCCTTCTGAGGAGGCCTGGGAGCTCCCCCTTAGTAGGGCCCTCCTGAGCCCTCTGCAGAGAGGGTGCAGGGGCTGCCCTTCAGCCTCACCTGCTCAGACCCTTGAAGAGCTCCCTGCAGTCAGCAGTGCAGCTCAAGGAGAGGCAGCCCTAGGCTGTGAGACTGGGCAATTAACCCAGGGTTGTACCTTCCTGGTGCTTGTCTTGGCCTCTAGGGCCAAAACCTCTCTGCTTGCCTGAAGTTCCATTTTGGGCCACCTGCTTCCTTCCTACTGTACCCTGGGCTCTGGCTAGCTTCTGCCTTGTGAGCAGGCTGGGCCCACATGCCCTAGGGCTGTGTCTGTGGTCATCCTGCTTAGATGCCCCCTCACCTCTAGGTGCAGGGAGGTGCTGCTCCAGGTTCAGGTCTCCTTCCTCCCAGTCATCATCTGCCTCCTCTGTGCTTGCCTCCCTCTCTGAGCTTTGCTTCTCCCCAGCCTGGCTGCCCAGGGGCAGAGGCCCAGCTTGCTGCTGGCCCTGTGCTCCCAGCTGCTCCATGCTGGTCACCTGTGGGTGGCTCCTGTGCCACCCTTGCAAGCCAGGGGCAGACTCCAGGGCCCGGGACCTCTTGCTGCCTCTTGGATCTGAGAAATTCAACAGTGCTAGGCGTTTCTGAAAGGCAAATCAGCTTTGCCTCAAGACTAGCCCTGGACCCCTGCCCCAAGCCTCAGTGCTGGCTGGGCCCCCAGCAGCTTTGGTCTGCCCAGCCCGGGCTGCTGCGTTCCTTGCTCTATGTCAAAGTGGACAGACGTGCCTTGTCATTTGGGTTCTGTTGGTGGGCCACCACCCAGGCCCACCCCCCCCCCCCCCCCCCCCCTCCAGTGGCTCTTCCCAGTTCCCCAAACAAGGGACTGTGGGTGGGAACTGGAGCAGCTCCATACCCAACTGTGATCCCCTGCTACACGCTGCTTGGAGCGATCTGGACACCAGGTGGGAGCAGAGTCCAGAGCCCTGGAACTGCTGAGCTGCAGTGGGGGGCACTGGGGCTTCACCAGGGAGGAGGTGCAGAGAGGAAGAAGCTCAAAGCCTTTAGGAAGCAGCCATGCTGAACCAGGCACGCTCTCCCTGTACACGCACCTGGGGCTTTTCTGCTGTCTGTGTCTACAAGGACTTACCACCCCCAGAAGGTTTCTCCTGGCACCCTGAGGGGAGCAGCCATCTGGAGGCTGCTGCAGAGGCACCAAGAAGGATCGGGCTGAGGGTCTGGGGGGCCGGTTCCTGGAGAATGAGAGAGACGTGACCAGAGGCCAAGACTGGGGAAAGTGTCTTTGAACACCCAGTGCCAGGGCAGTGGGGAGATGGGTCCTATCCTGCCCAAAGGGTGCTGAGCACCTGGGAGTAAATGCAACTTGTCATTGGCTGGACCTGTGCTGAACATGCACATCCAGCCCCCCCTCCCCTCACTGCTGCGTGCCCCAGATGCCCCAACTCCACCTGTGCTGCAGCAGGGCAACCTGTTTCCGCTCCTGGGCTGTGTACCCGGGCCAGTCCTCCCGCACCCAGCTTGCCAGTCCCTCCTTTAGGCGGTAGCAGCACTCGGTGGGATCCAGCTCCGCAACCTGCATGGGGAGAGCAGCAGGGTCAGAATGCGTGCTGCAGCACCCATGCACAGGAGAGCACCCTGCACCAGCACCCGCTCACCTCCTCCAGGGTGGCCAGCAGCCGTCCCCAGTCCAGCCTGTCCACCTGCATCCCCTGTAGCCGCTGCATGAGCTCGTGCTTGTAGTGGGGCCGCAGGGCCAGGAGCTGAACCAAGCTTTGAACGGAAGCCCTAGGGCTGCTTGTTGTGGGCCTGTGCTGCTTGCTCCCTGGGGCACAGCAAACAGAGCCCTTCCCCAGCAGGTGGTTCTCGCCTGCCTTCTTCAGAGCTGCGATGCCTTTGCCTGCGCATATGTCAGGACGGAAACGTCAGTGCTTGGGGAGAACCGCAGCAGGAGTCTACTTTCCTCTGCCATAGCCCAGCCCTTCCGGCATGCAGCCCCCACCCCTGTGCCCCCCGTCTCCTGCAGCTGCCCCTCCGTGGCTGGCAGGACGATGCCACGTCAGCTCTCCCAGTGCTGTAGGTGTCTCCTGCTAACCAGCACGGTCTGCTCCCCCTTCACGTACGGAGCTGCCACCCCAGCCATGGTGAGCAGTTGTGCCCACATTCCAGGGCTGGCAGCACTGCTGTCCCAGGGGAGCTGCCGACCTCGGGGGCCCTGCAGCCATCAGACCCCAGTGATCTCTTCCAACGTGCTGGTGTGGGTCCTCAGTCCCAGCACTGCCCCAGCCTAGGACGGAGCAGGTGGCTCAGCACCCAGTGCCACCCGCAGCACCCCACTAACCCAGTTGGAGCTCAACAGCTGCTCGGCTCCGGGACTCCTTGGGCTGGGACACACGCTCCTGCAGCACTGGGTAGGTGCTCTCAAAGGCACAGACCGTGATTTTCTCCTGGATGCTGCCCATGCTGTCCAGCCGGCTCTGACCCAGCCTGGGAGCAGACAACACCTCCCGCTAGCCGAGCCCAGCCCTGCAGGGCTCCCCTCGGCCCTGGCAGTGTGTAGAGGGGAGCCCCGCAAGGCGGGCATCTGCAGCTAGCAAGAGAGGAGGGAGTTTGTCCCCAAACTGCCTCCACAGCCCCTGCCTCCAGGGCTGCCGCTGCCTTCAAACGTGCTCCAGCACACCGGGAGCCCCTACGACAGCTGTGGGCTGAGAATGCAGCGAGCTGCTTACACTGCTCTGAGCCTGCTGGCTGCCTGGCCTGGTCCACTGCAGACAGCGAGCAGAGCAGGATGGGACCCCGTGGGGGTCTGAGCAGAGATCGGACCAGGCAACCCAGGCCAGCAGTTTGCAGCGCAGTCAGCGTGAGCAGGGCGGGGGCTGATGTGGTGCTGTTGGCTTGGCAGCACCGTGCCAGGGAGGGCAGGAAAGGGGCTGCTCCCCGAGGGGTACGGAGAGAGCCGCCCTGCTGCCCCGTCGCAACCCCTGATGCTGCGACACGTCCGCGGCCGTAGGCTCACCTGGGCACAGCCAGCCGCGCGCACTCGAAGCTGGCCTGCGGCTCATCCCTGCCGTAGCGCGAGAG